TTTCTTTTCTGCCACATGCCTAACTTTACAGCACCAAATTCGACGAGTGTCAACCCCAAAAGTATTTCACAATCTCTTAAAACATGAGATTTGAAGACTCAAAAGGGGCTCGATAAATGGAGCCAGAATAATGCAAAAAAGGAAAGAACATAGGAAAGCAAAAGCGAAAAACATTGCAAAAAAACGAACAGAGCGCTTTTTTTGGGCAACTACTGGGTTCAAAAAACACATACAAGTACCAAAGAAACAACACAGTTCTTCAGATGAGGAACTAGCAGCAAAATAAAAAAAAATAAAAAATGAAAAAAGTTTTTTGAAATCCTCGATTCAGGCCATTTAAGATTTTTCTAAAAAAATCTAATTTAGGGAAAGTGTTTAGGAGAACAAAATGATTGTTTTAAAATTTTTTGAAATTTTTTTTTGAATTTTTTTTAGGTCTCTAAAAATTGAAAAAGTTTTAATTTTTTATAGCTGGTTGAATTTTTCAGTCACTGGATTTTGAAAAATTGGTTGGCTTTTAAAAATTTTTGAATTTTTTAGAGTGTTTGAATATTCCAACCACTAGTGCATGGCGGTATCTGACAGAAATTTGGGCTTCAATATGGCAGACGAGTGAAGGGAGGTTTCCAGAAAGAGTAGCTTTGGATTAGAGAGAGAGGAGAAAGGAATATAAAAAAAAAAAATCTGATTTTGAGTCTTCTATAGACCCTTCAAAATGATGCCGTTTTGGTATCCGGATCCACACTAGACCCACACCTAACCCGATCCGTTTGGTAAGTATTTCCTTTTCCTTTTCTTTTTATTTTTTGTTTTGATTTTTATTTTACTTATTTTATGTTGATTTTTTTGTTGTTTTTTATGATATTATTGTTATTATTATTTTATGTTATTACTAATATTTATTCTTTTAGAAATAAGAAAAAAATAAAAATAAAATGTAGATTTGTAAAATAAAATATGCATAAATCTTTAAAAGATAATTATTAAAGGAAAATTGAAATTTTGTTACAAGCAAAATATTTCTTAAATTTCACCAAAGTATTGAAATAATTTAAGAAATAATTTTTATTAAAAAAATAATAAAACATAAAAATAAAAAATAATGAATTGTTTAAATGAATTTTTTAAATATAAATTTTAAAGAAAACTAAAAGAGTTTGATTTTCTTTAATTATTGCAAGTTAAAATAATTTTTTAAATTTCACCATAGAGTTAGGATAATCTAAAATTATTTTTACTAGAATAAAAGTTTATTTAAACAATATAAAATAATAAAAATAAAAGTGCTTCTTTAAATAAATAGCTTAATTATTACCAAAAATATATTTTAAATTTCACCAAAGAGTTGGGACAAAAAATTTTATTTTTTACTAAATAAAAATTTATTTAAATAATAAGAAAAAATGAAAATAATAATAATAAATAAATAATAAAAAATAATTGTTTATTAAATCTCTTGGGTAAAAATTTAAAAAAAATTGAGAAAATCTCATTTTTCTTAATTATTATCAATAAAAAAATAAATTTTAAGATTTTGTGAGAAAGTTGAGATGATCCTAAAATCTATTTAAAATTTTTAAGATTTTGCTAAAAAGTCATGATAATTTTAAAATCAGTTTAATAAAATTTTAAGATTTCACAAAAGAATCGAGATAATCCTAAAATTAGTTTTAATAAATAAATAAAATATCTTATGAAAAAATTTTGAGAATTTTGTGAATGATCAATTTTTTAAATTTATTTTTAAATAAAATTTTTTTATAAATTCTGTCAAAATGTTAGAGAATTTATATAATATAAAAATAATAATAATACTAACTTCACAACAAAAAAAATATTTTTCATAAACAAATTTAAGGAAATCAAATTTAAATATAAAGAAAATTATATCATCAAAATTAAAAGTTTAAACATATTTAATTGATATTGTTCTTCAAATGAACAACGTGAGGGTCCTAATATCTTCTTCACTCATAATCGTACTCTCAAATCCAATTGTGATTTCGTAGACCAAAACGTTTTTTAATAAATCTTAATTAATTTTTAAATTTTTATTAAAAGATAATATTTTTGGGTGATAAATTACATTTTACAAAAAAAAATTGATGACGACTTCAAAATTTTTTTATCAAGTTTAATGATTGAGTCTCTGGATGAAAAATCATTATGACAATTATTTTATATAAAAATTATGCACTTTCTATTATCTGGTTTAAAAGGAAATTAACATGAATTATTGTAAAATTAAAATGAAGGTTGGTATAAATGCATGCCCATATTCAATAACTCTTAGCATGAATCTAAAATATATATATATATATATTCTTTTGTTGTTGAATGATTAATTCCTAATTTTTCATAGATTTTATTTTCATGCAATCTGAACAGAGTAAATAAGAATCAAACATTTTTTAAGGAAAATCTTAAATAGACTGTACGTTCTGATTAATTGGTTAACTAATTAATACTAAAAAAATCAATTTTTTAAGCGACAAGGTCAAAGTTTTAGGCTTTACCTCATATCAATATAAAATGATTTATTTACGTTAAACTTAAAAAATTTATGAAAAATTATTCACTCTTAGTTTCTCAACAGATTTAAATTCAGATAATAAAAAAAATACTCTTCTTTTTTTTTTTTTTTTATAAGAGAAACACGTTCTGTTTATAACTTAAATAAACCATTAGTATTAAAAATTCATTTTTCAATTAAAGCAAGAAATGTTTGTATATTCCCAATTTCCAGCTATTCTAAGTAAGAGAGAAAAAAAAAAAAAAAAGAAAGGAAAAACCCAGGTAATGTTTATGGGCGAAGATGGTAGTTTTATGAAACCTAGCATTATAAAAAATTAAAAAAATAAAAAAAAACCTGGGTAGATTCTCAATAAACCTGACAATTTTTATATTTATATCATATAAAATATTTATAATTTAAGTATTTATAATATATTTTATATAAAAATTATGTATTATAATTTGTATTAATAAAAAAATACAAAATATATAGTTGGTTTTATTAAACACATCTATTATTTTTACTAAAATTTATATTTTTATATTATTTCATATCATATTAATTACTTATCGTGTTTTAGATTGATTGTTCTAATTCTAAAGCATATGAACGCTCTTTTGGAGGAGACTGTTGAAACCTCTTTTATAATGCACTATGGCATTTTCAAAGTCAAGTTCTCATTTCTTTTTCCTTTTATATATATATATATATATATATATATATTAAAAGGAAAAAAGAAAAAGAAAAATTCTTCATGTCAAGCACTCTAATTCTCAAGTTTTTATGGCCTTGAAATGTTGATTCTGCGCTTGTCCACTTGAGATATATAGCTGTAGTGAAGTACTTTTGACTGCCATATAACCATATATTTTTGGTCAGGTCTGAACTTTGGAATTTGTAACCCTGAAACCACTGTAATAATATATATTGCATTTTGATTGGTGAAGTACTTTTGATTACCATAAACCATATATTTTTTGGTGATGCCTAAACTTTGGAATTTATGATGGAGAGCACCTTGGAAGGTCACAGAACTAAGTATGAGAGTAAGAAAAACTATTGGATCCATGTAAAGCGAATGATCAACTCAAGTAGTGACCTCAACCTGCATTAACGCATCCCCTTTTTTCCCATATATGTCACAGTCATTTCCTTTGTCTTTCAACTAAAAAATTATGTCATTCCAATTCCGTTATTGTGGTTTGCAAACGGAAAGCAAAAGGGAAGTGGACAGTAGATTAATTTTACAATAAACAAGAGTTTTGATGCTACTTTTTTAACTTCATCTTGTTCGTTTCTGAAATAGAGGAAGCCTTCAGCATAGCACACTAGATGACATAAGTCAATATATGGCTTCATTAATCTAATTTGATAGAAAACAAGCATTCATTTTCCTCAATTCAATCGATACCGCACACTAGATGTATATAGGTGTGGCAATTTGAAGGGTTAGCTCACATTTGGATGTGAATTATTTCAAGTTTCAAATTTGTATCAAATTGAGTCAAACTGCATTTTCAAGTCAAATCTTATTTTATCGATTTTAATTAACTTATATTTAAGGTCCAATTTGGTGATCTTGTGGAACACCCTTCAATTTTTTATTTTTTTAATTTATTTTTTATGTCATAAAGTTAACAAAAAAATACACTAGTAGAACTTTATATCGACGGCAAGAAAGAGGTCATGCAATCTTTAGAGATTGCATGTAAATTTTATGTTCGCATGTTGATTTTTTTTTTAATACATTCAAGGATGCCACAAGCTTTTCTTGAACCTAATTTTCTCTTAATAATTTTAAGAGCGCACTTCCTACATTGGTTCCCCGTAAATTCAAGATTTTATTTTTGGAGTGCCCTTTGCAAGGATCAAATCTTGATTGACTAAAAAAAAAAGGTTTTTCTCTTAATAATTGGATTAACTTTTTGAATAATTTATTTGTTGATTATTAATTTTTTCTTGAATGTAATATTTATGTCATATGCATATGCATATGCTGCATTAAATAATAATTTTTGCTTCTACATTTTATCTCATAAACAAAATCATTAGATTATATTGAAAGATAAATTTAAAAAGCAATATTATAGTCATATTAAAAAATATTAATCTTTGTTTACTGATTTTGATCTCAAACAAATCATTTAAATTTGGGTTCGATTTGCCATCTTTATGTAAAATGGATAAACCCTCAAACTTTCCTCCTCCTCGTGTTCATATGGATAGTTTTACTCTGAAGTGCTAATGGATCTATAATTTATAAGATTGAAAGGAAGAGGAAGACTGAAAGAAAAAAATAAAGAACAAGAAAAATGATTTTCTAGCATTTAGTTTAAAATATCAAATTGTAATAATTAGGCAGTTTTCTGACTTAATTAAGTCGTAACTTTTGAGTAAAAAGAAAAAGGGACAAAGGGATCGAGAACAAGCACATGAATATGTAGTAAAAAGAACCGCAAAAGGGAAGGGCATCAACAACCAAAATTTAAGCCCATTTGGCCAAGACAGACATGGAAGCTGTCCCAACAAGAAGTGAAACATTTACTCCTAGTTGAAGCCTAACATTGCTTTGCAACCTTGGGCTCATGAAATCCGTAGCTAGTAGGTCAACAAGTGCCATGTAAATCAAAATCCCAGAAGAAGCCGAATTGAAAACTCCTTCAACAATTAGAGCAGTTGGGCTGTTGCCATTGTAGAAACTTGAAATTCCAATACCTATTGCAATTCCCAAAGGGGTCGTTAGGGAGAAAAACGTTCCCATGATCGCCACCGACAGAGATTTAAATTGAGCCTACATGATGAATGGCCAACAAAACTTTTAATTAGGCTAATCAGGTATACCCTCAAGCAGCTAGTATTTGATCAGAAAATTATGGATTAATTATAATTGATTTAGCTTGAAAGTTATGAACTTGAGCTAACTAAAACATCCAAGTTTAGAATTAAATATAAAATTATTTTAGACCTGATTATTTTATTGGTAGCATTGTGTATTTTCCTCAAATAAATAATCAAATATATATATTTATATAAGTGCAGATGTTGCCACAATGACAACATTCTCCATCCTATTTATTCTTACTATAACATTTCATGAAATAAATGCAAAGAACTTAATTTATCCTCTAAAAGTCCTCCCTCATAAAAATTAAAAATAGAAAAGAAAAACCAAGTGGTTGAAGCCTTTGAGCTGTGCTAGATATATATAGCATACTCATACCTGAGATATGCAGCCACCAAGTCCCATTCCTTCAAAAAACTGATGGAAAGACAGGGCTGCCAGGAGTGGCCTTATTGTTTCAGGACTCTCGGAAGCACCTAAAGATATCCCAATAACCACTGAATGAACCACAATTCCTACCTCCAATACCTGTAATATACGCAATCAATTACCTTTAATTTAAATCCAATACCATTTATGAAGGATCAAAAGGGAACTTAAAATTAAGCTTAATTTACTTGGGATATGAGACGCTGACGGATGAGCTCTGATAAAACCAACTCTTGAGATGATGAAGCAGAGCCATGAGAATGACCATGAGTGGCATGTGTATGAACATCTACATAACCTGCATGTTCTTCATCTGCATTAACCTGCTTATGCTTACTGAAATATCGCCTCTTATAATACCCAGTCGCAAATGCATCTGCCATTAACGTCCCTATCGCAGACATCATGGCAACGAAACCTGTAAAAGGAAATTTTCCCCATGTACTTTCTTTAAGGCAAGGTGAAGTTAGGCTTTCAAATGCATCCGGGAGGATATGAACGAACCCTGTTGCTAGGATAACACCAGCAGCAAAAGCCTTGATCGTGAAGAATATGTCATTTTCGGGCCTGAACGCAGGGATTCGCGTCCCTAACAATGGGAGGCTCACTCCAACAGCACCAGCTACAAGAATAGCAGCAATTGCACCGAGCTTATATTTGAGTGCTTCTCCTTTATTTTGTTCTACATCCTCCACTTCACATGAACACTCGCTAGAGACCGTTGCAGGGTAGAGAAGAAGAATGAGAAGAGAAGAAATCTGTAAGATTTTGAATGAACAAACGTTAATATTAGCCATGGCGATGGTGGCTATATGAGAGCTGAGAGAAAGGGGCGAGGTTTATAGAGAAAACTTAGATGTTTTTATATGGAAAGCAAGAGAATTTGTAAAGCAGGTGTTTGAACTTAACCGGATGGCTAATAACAACAGAATCAAAGAAGCATAGACAAAAGAAAATGCAGCAAAGGAAAACCGCTCAATTGTTTATTTATGATAGCATGGGCTAGATGCCCTCGGGCAGCCCACAAGCATTAAATTTTACCTTTTTTTTTTGCCTTTGATCCACTCGATATATATGCTACCATAGTTGATTATTACAAAGATGAATTTCGAATTTGAAGAAACCTGAAGGTGTCTGGACACATTAAAAAAATTTGTTAGATGAGTTGGCCTGCTACATTTGTAAACGACATTTTCTTAATTCATCCTTTTTCTGCACCAACGTCCACTAAATCATGAATTAGTTAATGTTTAGACAACCAATAATTAATTTTTGACTTGAGAGCATTTCTTGTTTTGCTCATCACTCTGGTCTTAAGGGAATTTGTTTGTTTCGCAAAAATCGATTTTCAAAACAATTGAAAAGTAATCTCTCAATGATTGATGGAGTTATAAATATTATTTTACTAAAACTTCGCTAACCTTAAATTTCATTTTTACTATTTATTATTACTATAATATTTTTATATTTAAGTGGGTATATATATATATACTAAATGATTATCTATAGATTGGTATTAGATACTATTAATTTGATTTGCAATTGATTAATTTATCTATTAAGTTCGAATGTCTTCCTATATGTCAATAGATTATTCAATATATGAATGATACTTAAATTATAAAAAAATAAATTTCGTGAATAATCATTAAATTATAATAAAATATTTAATATAATTTTAAAAATTTCTAATGGCATTAATCCATTATGAAAAGATAGCATAGAAGAGTTTTGCATGCAATTGATAAAAAATAAATAAAAAATACTTTGAGATTTGAAAAGTAACCTTTAGTAGACTGTCGAGAAGCATTCATGGATTCATGTAGACACGATGTTGTCATTCAATCACCTTTTAACAAAAGAACTTTCACTTAGATACGAACTTAGAGAGACTTTTTTAAGACGGTCAACATTGAAATGTCGACATAATAATGTTTCAATCTCTCATTAGATCTTTGAATATTAATTGTATTCATATGTCCTTACTGTTTCTTTTTAATTTACATTTTTATCTTTTAGCTGTTCATTCGTAAACACTTACAAGTTACAATGCCAAGGTTACATAGACTCTCGGTTTGGTTTAGGTAGATTTGTAGGTACAGTGAATTATCTTCAGCAAATGAGTTCACAATTACCTAGTTAGAGGCACGGTAGTTTATTTGCCATCTGATAAATGGAGGTAGGCCAACTTGACTATAGGAAGAGACCAAGAATGATACAGATGGTGCTCAATTTTTGTCAATTTTGACTATTTCTTCTTTGCTTATCTAGTGGTTCACTGAAATACGGTCGAGCATCGAAAGAATAAAATGTCGTTTGAAAAAGTTGGCAAACAACAAAGAGCAAGGGAAAATAGAAGAGATACAAAATTTACGTGATTCAATCTTTGAATGACTTATCTTCACGGACGAATGAGGTGTAGCAAACTTCACTTTAGGTGTAGACATTCTATTTAGGTTGATATCCAAATTAATTGGACTTGAATTCGATTCAAGTTCGATTGTTAAATTTTATTTTACATATATATATGTATGTATTTTTTTATTTTCAACTTTATTGTTATATTTATAAACTTTATTTATTTATTTTAATTTCATATATGCTTTTTAATTATTATTGTTGTTTATATTTTAAGTTAATTTAATCATTTGGTTTTATTTATCTTTTTTTTATTGATTAATTATCTAATTATTATTTTAAAAAAAAAAAGAGAAAAGGAAAACCAAAATTTAAAATTTTATTGGCTAGAGTCTTAATAATCTCATGAATTAAAGATAAAATTTTGGAAGATAATTCATGTGTTTTGAAATTCTATTGAATCCTAAACTCTTATTTCTAAAAGATTTTTAACTCTATAAATAGATCTGCATACACAATGAACAGAAAAGTGAGAACAATTGAGAAAAAAATAGTTAGACAATAGGTTTTGGTATAGGGAAATTTATTTTTTTAGGAAATTTTTTGAGAGTTTGATTCGATTTTATTTGGCAAGAATCAATTCTTTTGAAAGATTGAAAAGGTCTAAAAGTGTCAAATTGAAGTTCTAGCATTTTTGTGGAAATTTCTTAAAAAAATTTTAATTTTTTGATGGACTTTGAACTTTTTGATGAGATTTGTAAATTTTGGGAACTTTTTTATGAACACTTAAAATTTTCAGTGTTAATTTTCAAATCATGATGGGACTTGGCGTCACTAGTGATTAGAAGTCTAGAGAGAAAGTAAATAGAAGTAGGAAGAAAAAGAAAAAAAAAAGGAAAAATTGAAGAGAAAGCTTCGTATAGAACATTTATACTGCCACAAAACGATGCCATTTTGCCTTAAAAAACTTTACAAGATTCGCACGTTGACTTGTTAGGATTTGCACACCGACCCATTCTGTTGGTTTTTTTTTTTCTTTTTTAATTTCATTTTATTTATTTATTTTTATGAGCTTTATTTGTCTTTATTTATTTATTTATGATATATTTTGATTGGCTATGGTTTGAGTTAGTTGACCTATTTGGATTTTAAGGTTTTTAATTGATGAGGCTTGGTTTTGAATGGTTACATTGTTATATTGCATTAATTGGATCAACATCTCTTCAAATTTTATTTTCTCTTCTTAGGATGGATTGTATGGTGGTGGGTTTGGGCAAAAGTTTGTATTTTGGGTGGTGGCTTGTTAGTTGGGTTGGTTCTAATAAAAGTTAAGGAGGTTTCTCTAACTTAGGTTGTAAGTGTTACCATATTGGTTATAGACAAGTTTGGATTATTGGGTATATTGGAGTATTTCTATTCTAAATTGGTATTTTTCAAGAGCATGTTGTCCTTCACAAATTGCACAAGTCAAAAAAATGGTTTTGAATAGTATGGATAGGGACGATTTGGGATGAGGTTTGTAAAACATCTATTTTTTAGATAGGCTAGCCAATTGTGAAGTGATTAAGGTGAGAATATAAAGTCTATACACACCATTAATCTTTTTGTGTGCCTTTCTTTTCATACCTCATCAATAGTTGTTAGCCACCATCTCTTCAATCAACTTATGTGCCTCTTCAGCGGTTTTACTTAGTATGGCTCATCTAGTAACCAAATTGAGTGTAGTTATCATGGATGGTGTCAATTTATTGTAAAAAATTTGAATGTGCAACCATTGTGGAAGACCATGATGTGGACACTTACGCAACTATTCTTTAAAACTTTCCCATGCATCATATAGATTCTTATCATCAAATTGCACGAATGTTGTTATTTCATTCTTTAACTTGGCTATCTTGGCAGGTGAAAAAAGTTTAGAAAAAAATTTTCGTATGAAATCACCACATCTTGGTATTGATCTAGATGGTAAAGAAGACAACTAATTCTTTGCCTTGTTTTAAACAAAAAAAAAGTTTTAGTCAGATTGCATCATCATAAACACCATTATATTTAAACGTATCACATAATTCAAGAAAGTTAGATAAAATGATGTTCGGATCATCACTTGGTAACCTTCTAAACTATATAAAAGTTTAGACCATTTGAATAATCAAAGACTTAATTTTAAAGTAGTTTGCTTGGATCGTCAACCTTTGTATGGATGGTTGAAATCCATTAGCATTAAGAACAACATAGTCCCTCAACTTTCTATATCGTTCATTTTTTGTATGTGCCATTTGGATAGGTGTTGATGGTGTTGTTTTCTCTCTTCTTAAACACCTAAAAATTCTTTCAATTTTTTTTATCAAGTGGAGCTAAGTTAACACTTCTAGATTAGTGTATATAAACAAAAACAATATCAAAACAGTTTAAACAAATCAAAGAAAAGTGTTTAGATTACAAAGAAATGAAAAATTCTTATTGATATTCATTTGAACACCGATATAATCCCCTGCATTGGCACTAAAAACTTAATTGTTACTTTTTGTAATACTTGTAAGTGTACTAAACGTAATCAAGTAATAACATGAGTAAGTAGAGTATCAATCCCATGATAACTATATAATTGAATTGTTAGGTGAAATCAATTGCCAAAGATGATCAACTACAAGACTTATATCTAAACTAATAAAAGATTTAATTTGATTGCAATGAAAAATAAATCACGAAAGCAATTTGTGTAGGCCAAGATCTCATTATCCAATTATCTTTTGGATTCATGTATGTAGCCAACTAGACCTAAAGATTAAAGTAAAAGAATTGAAAGCTTAAAGAAAGATTAAGGCTGAAAGTATAAAAGTTTGCATAAAACAAAAAATTGAACAAAGTTTGCATATAACTAAAACTTAATGAAAGAAAGATTGCTTGAATTGCTTGAATGAAAATCAAATACTCTAGATTGTGAAAGATTGATTGCTGAAACTATTATACTTGTAAACAATAATGAAAACCATAAAGAATGTATGAGAGCTTGAAAAGAATAGATCTTGAAAACAAAAAAATGCTTTGAATTAAGAAAAAAATTTAGAAAACAATTTAGTATCGTCTAATCTATCACCTTGATCAAACTACAAAGAAATCTAAAAAGAAACTAATAGAATTGAAACTAAAGAAAAGAAAATAGAGAAGAAAAGATGAGATGTTGTGTGAGATGAACTGAGATGTTTTGAATATAAAATAACTTTTCTATTTATAATGGTGGGCTTAACTAGGATGGGGATTAAGGTGACAAAATCCTAATTTGAATTCTAAGAAATTACACATTATCCTGAACTTATAGAGTTATGGCCAAGTGTAACTTTTTCATTCTTTAAGTGCCTTAGCTAAATAGGACATCTGGGGTTGAATCTTAATCATCCATGTGGTATGTAAATCTTGATCTTTCAATCTTGATAGGTGGTTCAGCTAAGCATGGTTATCAAGACCATGTAATTGCATTTGATTCAAACTATTGAGATACAAGAGTTTTTCTTTTATCTAAACTCTTAGCCTTTACTCTTGTATATTATTTGACTTGTATGAAAACACTTTCAAAATTGATCAAAAAGTCATTGTCTTGCAAAATCTCTCTTGGTCGAATACAATAAGGTATCCATATAAGTCTTCAATCTCTAGTGGCATGTAAGAGTCCTTTGTAATTAAGATAACTGAATGTATTTAGGACTTTTAGTGCCATTAGGATTCCTTAATCCAAGTGAAATTAGGAAACCAAATACAAATGAGATTCAACTATTCTTCTTCTAATATGGCCGAACAAGACAATAATTAGGCTTATCCTAATCTTGCATGGATCTTGCATGAATTTGTACGAAACTCACATTCAAATAAATAAAACTTAAAAACCAAGAAAACAAACATTAAAAACACTAAATTCTATTAAAATTAAACATTTTTGAATTAAAAAGGACTTATAAAGCACTATATATTTTACTATTATCAGTAGCAAACTTCATTATAAGATTGCCAAAATTTACAAAGTTGAGAGAACTTTCAAAGAATCCAATACCCGAATACTCTTACAAGCACTTCAGAATAATTCTACTTAACACTCACCCAATAGATATTTTATTATATCTTTATATATATATATACAATATTAATGGTGTGTTCGGATTGAAGGGAGAGGAGAAAAAGGAAAGGAAAATAAAAAAAAAGTAAAAGAAATGAAATCCCTTCCCTTGTTTAGATAAACTTTTAATTTAAAGAAAGTAGAAGAGGTTGGTTTCCTTTGTAAACCAAATAACTTTTGGTTTCTTTTGTAGACTCAATTTTTTTAATATCTCAATTTAGAGGAAAAGCTACGGAAAGAAAAGTTGATTTTTTTTTTTATAAAAAACCTATTATATCCATTTTTTTATTAATACTAAAAATCTAGTCAAAAAAAATATAACCACATCACAATCATTCTATAATTTTTTCAAAGTCTTTTTTTTTTTCAAGTAAGTTTTACATGTCTCTTTCAATATAAAAATTTTTTTATAATTTTTTAGTGATTTGATTTTGATGAATGTTTGAATATGAATATGCATATTTTTTGAGTTTATGAGATGTCAGACTAACTCAAAATTTTTAATTTTTATATATAGTATATCATAATTTGAGTTTGATTAGTCAACAAAATAATAAAAAAATATACACACTTTTTTCGTCAAAAGATATACATATTTTCTCGTCAAAAAGTACTATTTTGACTAGAGTTTTATATATATATATATATATATATATATGAGACAACTCCAATGGATTGATTTCTTTGGTTAAAAAGTGGTGGTATTATACTGATTTCTTTGGGTCATCTATAAATAAGTGTACAGAATAATTAATTACAACTACATTGCATTAATCATCAATTGCAAAAACTGCTATATATCTTTAACAAAGTTCAACAATTTACTGAACCTAAGAACTAAATATAGCAACCGAAATGTGGGTGATCAATTAAAATATAATAATAAATAAATTTGGATTTCTCTACCAAAGCATCAGAAAAATAATATGGCAATGCCATGATATTATGGAAAGAAAAGTGGGAAAAGGAAACAGCATGAAATGATTTATTGAAATACAATTAACTTGGCTATGATTATAAACATATTTGTATGCTTTTCACACAAATTTAATTCGTAAATATTAATATTATAATAATTAATAGATGTGAGTAATTGATAAATATTAGTATTGTTATTAATAGTAGTATGTATGATTTATTGTTAAATGCCTCATGTCTCAAAATTCTCTAATTCAATTTTGTTTTAATATTATTTTCTTTCATAAAGTGTTAATGTATTTATTTTTACGATAATAATAATAATTGTTAATATTTTATTGTATAGATGGATAAACAAAGAAATGAGACAATGGTTGAGTATTTTTGGAGAGAAAATCATCCAATGATGGTTTTCTACTTTAGGCATTTAGTTGTTTATTGGTATGTACGTAAAAAACGATCACAAAAAAAGTTATTGATCATTGTATAAGTCTAGAAATGATCATAAAAAATATTTTGTTACATAAGTTTTTAATTAGTTAAAATAGTTTTATCTTTTTTAGGATAGAAATATTTATTTTTTATTTTGATAAAATAAATTTATGTTTGACAACTATATGGTAATATGTTATTACTTTTTGTTTGGTGTAAAAAAGGATATATAATTTGCTTGTATATAATGTTTTTATGTGATTGCATTTTTTATATTTAATAACTTTTTATATGAATATGTCACCAAAATGATAATGTGCTGAAATTTTAGAAATTTTGGCAATGGCAAAAAATTCATAAAATATCCTTCTATTTCACTTGATTAAAAACTATTGATATAACATAATTGTAAGGTCAGACAAGATAATAATATATTATGATTCAAGAGTGTTTTAAAATCACAGGTAAAATTATAATTGAAAAATTTATGTAATGAATCATTTTTTTCACTTTTATTCAAATAATAGTTATTAATTTTTTTATTAATTTTAATTATCTAAATAAAAGAAATATGTATTTTTTTTATTTTTAATTATTTTTATTTATTAATATTTATCAAAATATAACGTAAGAAAATATGATTTTTCTTTTCCATTTGACTTCAAACTCTATATGTTTTGTGTTTTACTTAAATTGAATAACCAAAAAAGCTTTGGGTTACCATTGATCAAGTACAAGTAAAATTCTTTGCTGACAATAACTCTGGGAACTAGAAATAAATGGAAAACAAATTTGATTTTAAATTTTAAATCATCATGTAATAAATTTTTACCTTGACTTAAAATTTTTTTATTATTCAAATAGTGAATTTAACCTTCTCATTTAGCCTAGATAACAATTTTTATTGAGTTGAAATCAAAATTTTTATTGACTTTATATCATCAATTTGTCACTCGTTTCGCTTACTGTTAATAATTAATTAAATACTGATGGTGGAATTCATTGGATTAGTGGAGGATAATGGTTGAGAAAATCTTTTTGTTCTTTTTCTTATGTTGTTGTGTGAAACCAATGCTTCGGTCAAGAGTTAACTTGATATTAACGTGTATGATAATATTTAAGATTTTTTTAAAAGAAAAAAAATAATGCTGACATGTTTTAACTTCTAAATAAATATTTAAAAATGATTTTTTAGAATCATCCTATTCCTAATTTAAGTAAAAAGTTTGCCTTTATTTTTATTTTTTATGATTTCTTCCCTAGTCCCAACTCTATCTCCCTAACTGTATTTTTCTTTCTCTTTTTTTATTTAAAATAAAAATAAGATGTAATAATTAAAATTAAAAGTTTAATATTATATTAACAAATTAAATAACTATAGGCAATTAATAAAAATTTGCATTATCATATATTTAAGGTTTACTTCCAATCAAAATATCTTCTTGTAAATTGAATAATTTTTGTAGTAAAATAAATTCATTTGATAAAATTTTTTTTAATGAAATTAGTTTTATTTATAAATAAGCTAATTTTATTAATATTTATTTTAATATAAAAAATTAAAAATGATAATTCAAAAATATAATAAACAATATATTCATTTTCATAAATTCAAAAATTTTAACATTTTTAATATAATATATATATCTTTATGAGCAAATATCAATTTATATGTGATAAATTTTAAAAAATTTTACATATTTTTTTAATTATTGATTTTAATTAATTAAAAACTAAACAATAAAAAATAATTTATTTGTTATTCATCATGACACCTTAATTATACTACAAATTTTTACTTCCCCTAGTTTCCTCCATTTTGTTAAAGGGTGATGCTAAATGCATTCTTATTTTTTTCTTTAAATTTTAAATTTAAAAATTTTTTAAGTAAAATTATTTAATTACTTTTTTCATAATTTTTTGAAGTTTTATAATATAAAAAATTCGAAAAATCATATAATTTTTTAAAAAATTAGTTTTCAAAAATCATAATTTTTTTAAAAATAAAATTTGAAAAATTATAAAATATTTTCAAAAGTTAATTTTTTGAAAATTTATTTCGAAAGAGTTTTATAATTTTTTAAAAATTTATTTTTAGAAAGTTATATAATATTTAAAAAAATTATTTTTGAAAAGGTTTATAATTTTTTGAAAATTATTTTTTAACAATTTGTGTGTAAAATAAAAGATAATTAAGTAATTTTATTTTGAAAAAATAAAAAATTGAAGTGTCTAAAAAAAAAAAATTTGTGGATGATCTGCATCAGTGTTTATTTATAAGATTTATCTTTTATTTTTGGCTTTTCATACTCTCTCGTCGGTTTGCGTCCCTCCTTGCGGTAGCCTACGATTTTGTTTTATTTATATGTTTAAAAAATTAAAATTTATATATTTATCATATTTATAAAAAAATTATTATGTTAAATTATATTATATTAAAAATATAAAAATAAAATATTTTATTTTATTAATTTAATTAATAATTATTATTTACTTTTAGTTGCCATTTTTATTTTCCCTTTATTCCTCCGTCATCTTTTCCCCTCTATTTTCTATCCCATCGCTCCCTCGCCTCCTTCGTCGGGCCAGCGTGCTGCCTCTGCCTGCTGTTTACCTTCTTTCTATCTGTCCTTTCTTTCTTTTCCAGAAATATCGAAAATGAAAAAGAAAAACAGACAAACCTATAATGCCCAATCGAACAGACGGAAGAAGACGAAAATACCCTTGAACTTTTTAAAATTCCATATTTATTAGACTATATAGGGGATATTTAAAAAAATAAAAAAGAAAATTACGTATTATCTGGAGACTGGAGAGTGGTCTTTTCTTTGATTTCTGCCATTTTTAAGATTTGCAACATTTAGATCTCGGGTTCTCCAACTCAACCTGATGGGATTCTTCGGTTGTGCTTTTAAACCAGCTTAAAGGTGATGGTTTCCCTTTTTGGCTTTTTTTTTTTTTTTTCAATTTTAACTTTAAACTGTAGTCGTTTATAAATAATTTATATGAATAAATGTTGAATCTCAGAATGCTGAGCCATTTTTCTTGTTAGCTGGTCCCAATGTGATTGAATCTGAAGATCACATTTTAAGGATGGCTCACCACATCAAGACTATCACTACCAAGTATGATTTTTTTTTTTTTTTTTAATCATATGTGCAAAAAGACTTGAGATTGATTGCTTTAGTAGAAAATGCACAAAAGCTATGATCCTTCTTTCTCTGAATGATATCTTTGTTTTGTAAATTTTGTAGGCTTGGGTTGCCCTTGGTTTTCAAATCAAGCTTTGATAAAGCTAACCGAACATCCTCCAAATCATTTCGGGGTCCGGGAATGACTGAAGGCTTGAAGGTTCTTTAGATTTTGTGTTTATTATTATGTTATTATTATTTGCTTATTTACATGACATGGCTGCTTTCGTTACAATGAATAATACACGGTTGCCTTCATTGTATTTTGTCTATGGCTCTATGGATACTATCAGTACATAACTATGTGTGTGCAATTGTTTGATGAGGATCTGCAGAGTTTGTTTGTAAGTTTGTTATTGAACTTACAATGTGTTTCTACATTTGTAGTGTTTGTTTTTCCTACTATTCTGTGACAATTTGTTCTGGAATTGCAGATATAATGTCTATAAAATTTGTGCAACTTCGTCTTGGAAAATCAATACATTATTGATATTCATATTTCTGATTTTTTTTTTGGGTGCAGATCCTTGAGAAAGTTAAAGTAGCATATGACATTCCCATAGTAACTGATGTCCATGAAACTATTCAGGTAGAGGAAACCTTGTATGTCATCTATCTATAAACAAACTTTATTATTTATTTTAACTCTAAACAAACTTTATTATTTATTTTAACTCTATGTTAGTGTCTTGTTTGGATACATTGTGCATATGATTTCTTTGGATTATGAAATTTTTTGCTGAAATCAAAATTTCCATGTCGGACTCCATTACTAACAAAACTTTCTAGATGTTTTTCGCGCTTGCTTTTCCATATTATTAATTTTGCTAGGAGCAGAAAAATGACATGTCAAATTGGAAGTGAGCATGTTATGAACTTGTACACTTTTTGCTGGGGCGGTTAATTAGTTCATTATACCTGCCATTTACTCTATAGCTTGCATAACTATCACATATCTGTCTGTTTTATCAGTGTGAACCGGTTGGAAGAGTTGCTGATATTATTCAGATTCCAGCATTTTTATGTCGCCAGGTTAAGCTGACATTTTATTATTAATAGCACCTTTCCATGTTTAAAAAAAAAATGGTTGACCTTGGTGCTTGGTTGACTATTTGTCAATTTTTATTTGACAGACAGATCTTCTAGTTGCTGCAGCCAAGACTGGAAGAATTATCAATATCAAGAAAGGCCAGTTCTGTGCTCCTTCTGTGAGTGTTCTGTTTTTTTCACTTTCACAAAATTTGAAACTCTACTTATGTATTTTGATTACAACTCAAGTATATGCAAACTCTACTTATTTGTTCTGATTATACATGGATGTTCATTGTAATTATGAATATTTGTAGGTCATGGAAATTCTGCTGAGAAGATTAGATTGGCCGGGAATCCAAATGTGATGGTTTGTGAGAGAGGCACCATGTTTGGCTATAGTAAGTTATTCTGGACTTTTTGGCCCAAAAGCAAAGAGGTTATTTTAGATCTATATTTAGGTTCTTTAAGAAGGTTTCTTGGTTCATACATAGATCTATCATTGATTTGTGTTCCGTGTACACTTTCATGCCAGTGAGTGGAAATAAGGCAATAATAGAGAATGTTAATGGATATCGGTTCGCAAATCTGTCTATTAATTTTCACACATATGCTTCAAGAACTTATGTAGGAAGAGTAGAGTTAGGTTGGGTTGGCTAAGAGTAGATAATTTGATTTGTTGACTGATGTTAAAGCATTCAACTAAAACTAGTTTGGTCACAGGTGGTGCTGCTGTCCACCTTGAATGTAAAGCCTCAAGAAACTCCTGACTAAATGTTATGTAGCATCACTTATCTCTCCCCTCACTTGTAGGCCAATAAAACAATTTATACAAAGGGCCCTATAAAGTGCACATGAAAACAGGGCAATGGATAACATGGGGTCTGGTTTTTGTTATGTGTCCAACCCAACAGCTAGTTGGCAATAGTTGGACAGGGCCCAATCTCAATATAATGCCATAACTAACCTTCTATACCCATGTGGGACAACACTAGGTAACACATAACAAGATAAGAAAAATGTATGTGTGGACTCAGGAATTCTATTTTTGAGAGGCATATGTACAATCTTAGCACATTTTAAAATTTAACTTGTGAATGCTTATTTTTATACTTTTCTTTTATTCGGTTTCCCACACTTAGACCTTCTCTGGGGGTGGTGATGGGGTTGGGTGGGTTGTGTTCTCCTTTGTCCTATGGATTTATGCTTTAGAAGAAATCTTTGTGATCTTCCCATTTTCTATTCAAGCATCTAACATAACATTGTACCTCCCTGCATGATATTTTGAAGGGGCGCAAGGTATTACCACCAGAAAGTTAATATTATAAGATTTTGTTGGGGAACATTGCAGGGAGGGTGCAATTGCCCCTGCCTTGCCATCAGCTATTAATGTTTGGAACTTTTTTCTATAGGTACTGGTGGATTTATGTTTCTGCAAAAATTCAAGTGCTCATCGATTTTTCTCTATGATCAATGCTTAAATAAAATATTGATTTTGGTAGTGTTTGGTTTGTAAAATCCATTTCCATTTTATTTTCTATTTTTATTTTCTAAAAACACTTTTCATTTTTATTTTCGATTTCATTTGAAAATGTGTTTCGTTAATTAAAATAAAGGATCATTTCTGAAATGAAAAAAGAAAATGTGTTTGGTATATTGTACTTTCTATTTGTTAGACCAGACGCTATTGGTCCATAATGGTCCACAAATTGTGGCCATCAAATGGTTGTCCAATAAAGTTAGGACCTGTGAAAAGTGAAAAGCAATGGGACTTGAGCTTTTTTATTAAAGATTTAACATTTGCTTCTATATTTGCTTTTTGGGAGTATTGAACACAGGATGGGAATGAGGTTCGTCAGCTGGAGTTGTTTACTTAAACCAGACAAAGCCTTAGTCTTTTATTTTTCCTTTTGCATTCTAATATTGTATATCAACCCTTGTTTTGGTGTATCGAAATTTAACTGTAATTCAAGCCTAAGATCACCTCTAATGAATATTCAAATTGAACTTATGGATGCCTTAGTTATTTTTGCTTATCCCTTTTGATTGATCTTACAGAATTGGTTTTGATTTACAGATGATTTGATTGTTGATCCACGTAATTTGGAGTGGATGAGGGAAGCAAATTGTCCTGTTGTAAGCAAATAGTTTATGTTGTGTAATTTCTACACTTTCTGATGTTTCTTTTCCCTTGAAAATATTTAAATCATGCACTCATACACTCAGGGGTAGCCCTTATCTTGTCCTTTAATCACTGGAGCTAGGCCTGGTTGACTATAGTCTATGAGTTTTGCTTCAGATTTTGTTCGGTGATAATCTGCCAAGATACTTTCACTGTAAATGAAAAAAAAAAAAAATCTTTGCTAAAATATTCCAGATAACATTAATTTTTTTTTTTGCATATGCCTTTCAATTGCTGTTTGTCTCTACTATGTTTATGAATGAAGAGACATTCTGCAAATGAAAAGTGATTATTTGCATAATGACTTTTTGTTCCTTTGTGTATAACTTGAACAATTTGTGCTCCATTTGCCTGCCATTAACTGGTGGACTTCACATCTGATTCAAGTATTTCGCTCCAGGTTGCCGATGTCACACATTCCTTGCAACAGCCAGCTGGAAGAAAGGTGGGTATAACTTTACATTTGACTTTTTATTTTCCAAAACTAGAATGTGCTAGAGTGCTCCCTTGTTATGGTTATGGATAGTTTTACTGGTTAACCGATATTCTGATATTTTATATGTTCTTTTAATCTGAATTGTTCAAGAAGTTGGAAAGGACCTGTCAATCTGTCACTGATTTTGAATTGGGATAGTTGACTAACATTATTATTGTTATTGTAAGGACACTCTTCATGGGATAGGCCAAGGTAGATATAATTTTAGTCGAAAGGTCTTTGACCTTAAATCTGCATGCTTCACATTCATTATCATATTTGCTCTTCATTTATTAATCTTTGTTTTTGGGAGGGATGGTTGATAGAAACATTTGGAGCTACTCATTTTTTAATTTTGATGCTCCGAGAGCTGTTTCATACATTCAAGGTCTAGCATATTTGAGCTAAGGGTTAGTTAATTTTAGGGATAAAGTTAAATTTTGCTATTATACTGTTGGTCAATATTGAAAATTTTCCATTATACTTAAATTTCGTTCAATTTGCCACTATTACTTTCAATTTTATTGAATTTTGTCATTGTACTTCCAATTTTGTTGATTATTGGACAAAAAGTAATGGAATCAGAATATTTTACAAAATATGTTGTTAATACAAATAACAAATTTAATCTTCGTAGTTTCAATTTCATTAATTTTTGGACAAAAAATAATAAAATTTGAAATTTTCACATTATACTTTGTTAATAAAAATGAAAATTTCTAGCATTTTCATGACCAAAAATCAACAAAATTGAAAGTACAAAGGAAAAATTCAATTAAATTGAAAATACAGTGGCAAAAATCATTGAAGTTGAAGTGCAGTGAAAATTCAATATTGATCTATAGTAAAATTCACCTTTAGCCCTTAATTTTACTAAAAAAAGATAGTATGGATGCAAAGCATCGTTAGCTGTCTTTTGCTTTCTAGTTTTTATTCTTTTGCCCTATCTTGGACCGAAGGGAAGGTTAGTGCTAACACAAACTCACTTAATGGCATTAATGGAGAAAGCTCCAAAAATTGCAGTAATTCTTCCTATATGTTTTGCATTTCATTGTTGGTAATTCTGTCCATTTGATTTTGTGTTATCAAGTATTGATCAGAAATATTTGTAATATATTAGGTAGAGGATTGACATATCTATGGCAGCTAAGGATTGACATATCATGGCAGCTATTCTTTCTATGCCTCTTTCTCTGCTAAATACTTTTGCTTGCTATTGTTATTGTTCTTTACGAATATAGGTTTCTTGATCCTAGTTTGTTTCCCTTTTTGTTTCTTAGTTCATATCGCTTTTGAGTTTTATTTTCTATAAATAGTTAAATCGCTGCTTTGTTATATAGTTGGATGGTGGAGGCGTGGCCAGTGGAGGCCTTCGTGAGCTGATACCATGCATCGCAAGGACTGCAGTTGCTGTTGGAGTGGATGGAATTTTCATGGAGGTATAGTTTGCTTGATTGCCTGCTGGAAATGTGTAATGTAAAGTATTTAAGAGCTTATAACTGGAGTTCTGGGTTGGCTTTTGCTCAAATTACGATAAACAGGCATTTCCTTTTACTTTGATTATTGAATTGCATGTCTGAAGAATAAATTCTCATATAATTTGCATATTGATTTTATTTTAGTTTGGACATCTAAAAGTTTCTCTTTGATATTTAGGTGCATGATAATCCTCTGAATGGTCTGGTTGATGGTCCAACTCAATGGGTGAGTTGAATTTATAGTTTACACTTGCTTAATACAAGCACACATTGTGTCTTTAGCTCCTCAGAGGGTGGATTCATGTAGACAAGTTTTATTATCAGACCATATTACCAAGCTGTAAACTTATCAAAATATGTTTTGCATGTTACTGGAGATAGCCACTGCGCCATTTGGAGGAACTTCTGGAAGAGCTAATTGCAATAGCTGTAAGTTCTTTTCCCATCCTTGATGTGAATGGTTATGTTATAGTGTTTCCAGTTGCTGCATGGTAAATAAGCAATTACATGTATATGTAAATGGGATGCTGTCAAATTATTTCAATCTCCCAGACATGTCTAAGCATACATCTATTCTTGGAACTTTCTGTTTTACTATCCCCTCTTTTCCTGAGGACCTAAAGAAAAGGAAAAGATATTTTTATGACACTACAATTTGTCTGTTCAAATATTAATACTGTTATTGATACTGAACATTAATATCAATACAGACAATGTGTGAGAAAGGTTTTCTTTCTTTTTTTTTTTTTTTTTTTAAATTCAGATCAGTGATTAAGGCAGTGGGTTTTCTTTTGTGAGATTTTAAGCCTCAGCCTACAAGATATTTGAGGAAACTGAAAAGAAGTGAATGTCTGAGTCTTGGTCCAGGTAAGGAAGGGTAATAATGGCCAAAGAAAGGCTAGTGAGTTCATACGGGAACTGAAAAATTGGTTTTTTATTATGACAAAGGGAGTACAAGGAGGAGGAAAAAAAAGATAACTTGGAAAGGTAGGGATATATTGTAGTTGTTGGAATCTTAAACTGTTATTGAATGTTAGAGAGGCTGAATGGGCCTGTTGGAAGATCTGTCAAAAACTACCTCAAGGGGTGGAAAGCCAATTTGATTTGATTTGCCTTGGTCTGCTTGGAGGTGTTTGCTGTAATATGTTGATGAGAAAATTAGAAGATTAAGAAGGTGCTTGGCCTAGCTTATTGAAGAGTTTATCTATTGCAAAAGCAGAAGCTAGGTGTTTGGCTCTCAAAATTTTAAGAATTTTAGTTTATGTGGAAAACATATTTGAGCTTTTAGGCGAAGCTATAAATCAAAGCTTTTTCACAAAGTGATAATTTTAATTGCAAGTCTTAAATGAAAATTTTTAAATTCTCACTTTACTTTTCAATAGTTTACAAAATTATAAAGAGGATTATTATTTCACATTATTTTTTATTTTGTCCATTTTTCTATTGAATTTATTTATTTTATTATAATTAACAAAATATATCTTTATTTTATTTATTTAAAAAACTTGTGATTTAATTTAATAAAAGTGATTTTCTATTTTATATTAAATATTTATTAAATATATACAAAAATATTATCAAATAGTTTTTTCAACATTTTACAGCATTTATGTATTAAGTTTAATAAACGCTATTTTAGATTCTCTTTACAGGACTTTTAGAGAAGCTTTACTCCAGTAGCACTTCTCATAGAAGCTTCAGCCTAGCCAAACATGCACTACTCCTTTCTTGCAATTTTGTGGATTATGTGGAGGAAGAGTTATAGGAGGGCTTTGAAGGGCTCCTGGATAGTTGGTTTTATAGTGTCACTTAATATTTTTTATTCAAAAGGCAGCAATTCTTGATATATTGGATACCTATGATTTTCTTCATTTATTGCTTAGCAACAATAACTGGCATTGTGCATCGGTTGGAAACCCCTTGGTGCCTTTTAGTGCATCATTTTCTTAATTTATGAAATAAGTAGGAATGTTGGTATTAATCATTTCTTCAATTGATGTTTTCCAGAGGGTAAGCAAAGGGAAGCAACACTTCAACATTGATCTCACACCATATTGTGATTAGGAAGATGTCAAGAGTTCTGTAAGTGAGTAGCAGGTAATTATCATTTCATTCATGGCATTATTAATGTTGAACTAGCGGTTTTATGTCATTACAAAGAACAAAGTAGATGTCTCTTGGCAGTAACTCCACATGCAATGCTATTCTGTTGTTTGATAATGTCTTTTAGCTGAAGGCAAAGATTAGGACTCAACATATATTCCATTTTTAGTCTAGGATGTAATCATAATTTGCTTATACAAGTAAGTACTTGACATCCCATTTTGTTGTAATAATAACATTTAGTACTCTTGCTATGTAATTGACACATTATTTCTAACTTTAGAATCACAATTAAACACAAACGAAGAAGAAAAAACACTGTTCTCCTTTCTTTTTGTTCTCTCTCTTATGTAGCACATGAGGAGCTTCTGAGTTTGCACAATTCCCTTCACTGACAAAGAGAAGTTAAAAGCAATAGAAACTAGGCGTGCTTTGTGTTACTTAGAATTTAGAAGTTCCTTCTGCACAAAATGAAAAGGGAAAATAGGTTCGAAAGGAATCTGAAGCATGCAATCTCCTCTTTATCAATGAAAGATCAGAAGGCTCCTTCACTTGATTTTCTCTATTTTGATTTTTCCTTGTTCTTGGATCCTTGTCTCTTCCCTGCTTCACTTCACCACTGTGCATGGCCAGTCTCTGTTACCAGAGCACTGTTGATGTCTATTTGTTTTATCTTTTTTCTTTTGTTCTCATCTCTTTAATCTTTTCTCATCTTTCTCCCTCAGGCCACAACACTCAATTTTGGAGATTGAAAAAGGTAAGGAAAATACTATTTGCGTGTCCTAATCTTTTTTCCCTAAGTGATGCAAATCTACTTATTTTCTTTCCTTCCTACAATTCTTAATCTTTTTCTTTCATTCTTTTTTTTTTTTAATCTTTTATACCAAATAGTATACACGAGGGAAAAATTATTTTACTTAGGCTATTTTCTTCAATTAGAATTTGGATACAGAATTGTTTTATTTTTAGTAGGGAACAAACAAATTAAAGTTTTCCAAAGAGAAAGATGTAAACAAAAAGAATGGATGGTGGGAGGGAGGGAGTAGTATAATTTAGTTTTTAAAAGATTATGATTAATAATTTGTAAAAGTGATTTAGTTCAAAAAGAAAAAGTAAATTTATCAGTTACATTTTCTATTTTTAACGTAAGTATTTTTAAACATAAATGAGTGACTGACTTAAAAGTTAACCGATTATTTGTCACTTAAATATTAATTTGCTAATATTTCAAAAGAAAATTATGGATACCCTAGCAACCTCAAGTCGAAATTGAAAATCGGGATAATGTCGTAAGCATGATAATGTCATAAGCACGTAGGAGCAAATCATTTATAATAATTATATTATAATTAATCAATTAATATTTAAAATTATATAAGATTTATCAAAATATTATTAAGAGTAATTAGATAATTAAAACATTATATTAGAAAGAATTATAGTTGAAAAATGTTGTCATATCTCCGTGTTCGGGTAAGAATAAAGATTTTTTTCGTAGTAAGATAACAAATCCAGCTGCCAATTCTGCCAAATTAGCGCCTAATTCGACGAATAAGAAGGCTCCATTTGGCAAAAGAGCATTAATGACTGTTTCGGATAAGTTTATCACTAACTATAAACCACCATTGGATCAGGAACTGCCAAACTAGTTGCTGATTTTGTGGTAACGGCTCTCTGGCTAGC